TTTAACACCCTGAGAAGAGCAAGGACAACCAGTTGGCATCAAGTGGAGTGTAGTGACTATGCCCTATATTTAGCCGCTACAGGTAGTTAATTGATTTATTGTTCTTAACGTTAACGTGTAAATTGATGTCCAGTCTTTTCCGTAAAGTTTGCAGTTTGGCGTTTATTACCTGCGTCCACTTACTTTAAATAATACGTAATATAAAGTAGAACAAACAACATAATCTGAGCACAATAAACCTAGCACAGTTAAAAACTGTTTGCTCCTCTTCTTCCATTAATCACACCTGTTTGTAACAATACAGGAAATTAAATAGGCTAAGGCCAGCATCGGCTACCACACAACACAACATCATGCCCCCTGTGGCTTGGAGGAAAACAGGCAGTATGGCTCCTACATGGAGTTAGTGGAGGGACAGAAGAGAAGTCACAATGAACATCAGGACATTTGAACAAAGACAAGGTAACCATTTTACTGATGGATATAATTGTCTATTATCATAAGCACATAGATTATGTAAAGTGAGTTCCACTCACTGATTAAGCTCTAACCTGGGGTAGGGATGGGTATCATTACTCGGTACCTTTATGTTACCGACCGAAACAGCCCGAAACGTCTCCAGTCAAACCAATACTTCAATGATAGACCTACGTTTTGTAACCAGATTGCGGCAAAAAATGACTATTTGCATGGTTTTGCTTGCAGCCAAACACACAAGCAACACACCGAAAGAAAGAGAACCACACACTTTTTTTTCCTTTATGTGCCTGCACCATAAACTGTATTAAAAAATAAATAAAAAAAAATCTCAGGCTCGGTCTCAGGCATGTTTGTCACTGTTGCAAGTTTATCACCACAAGTTTCAATTTCTGTTGGTTTCATTTTCTGATCATTTAACACTTCTCTGTACATTTTTATTTGCTGTTCACATCACTGATCCATCACTGCGTTCCATCACATCAATTAAACGCTTTTGTGGCGCAGCAGTGATCAGCTGATTTTACTCAGGGAGCCTCCGGCTGAAGCTGCGGGTGTTTCAGGTGTAGTTTGGTCGGCTGGACGTACAGCCTCTCTATTCCTCTGTATGTTTAGTGTAGTGAGGATGACCTAATTAGGATGAGGAGCGATGATGCAATTCCCCAATACTTTTTATGTAGCAGTTTTTTGAAAAACCTAGATAACCTTGCTTGTCAATAAAAATAATAATAAGCTACTAATCAGGTGGCATGTCAGCAGGTGACATTTTATGCAAGGTATCGAATGAAGTACTCAATTGGTATTGGTATCACTTTAAGGGTACTGAGTTTGGTACTGGTATCGTAAAATTTTAAACGATACCCAACTCTAACCTGGGGTAATATAAATCAGTTGTATTCAGGCTGGACTTATAGTTTTGACTAAATAGAAATAACTTAAGTAGAAGAACATACATCCTTGTTCACTAGGTATGTTTGAAGTATTACTACAAGCCTTTTTTAAATGTGTTGTCTATTTGATAACTGTAATAAATACAACAACCAATGCTTACGTCTACAGTCTTCAACAAACACGAGGGATTTTTGAGGAAATGAGGAAGGCCCTGCAGAACGGTCCTCTTCTTGTGTGTTGAGCTCTGATAAATTCTGATAAATTCTTTAAACTGCTGCATATTATTACAATGTCCAGTGTGTAATTTAGTGGCACCTAGAAATGTAGTTTCAGACTGCAACTCACTTCACCCTCCCCTTCCAAGTGCAAAGCCAGTGAAACCCTTAACTGACATCAAATGTTTTGTGTTGTTGATTTTCAGTAGACAGTAGAAAGAGGTCGGAACACCAGTATGGGCACAACACAGAAGCTTCAGCAATGCGCTCCTGTAGTAGAGGCAGGAATATTTTTTTCCCCTTTGCCTTGCTGTCATGACTCGCTCTATAAGGGTGAAGTGAAGGCATTACTACTGTACGCTCTTTTCAAAGCCACCAGATTCATTTCACAAAAAACTATAAGAACTATTGTGTTACCTTGATTGTAAAAGACAAGACAGTAGTTAGTGTTACTTCTGTGGTTGGCTCACAGGTATCTGTGGAAGTTTGCCCAGGTGATGAAATCAGTTGATGTCAAACACAAGCAATAGAACTTACCATCATAACAAAATACATCTGTCTCACATATCAGTATCTATGGGTAAAATGATGAGCCCCAGAGATTTAGCAAGTAGCATACCAACATAAGCTGGTGCCTGAGAGACAGCAGTAGAATGTGTTTAAAATTGACATCATGAACCACTTTCTTAATAAAGCTGTGTTTAGCTTTGGAACGTATAGTCAAATAAAATCTACCAGCGGCCCAAAGCAGCAGATCAAATGAGGGCAGTGTTCCAGAAAGGGGTGTTTAGGCTTGAGTCTCAGGTCTAGAAACACAGTCTGTAACAGTTTCAGTCAGTAACATTAAAGGTGGATGAAAAGTTCCACAATGTCACAAGCAGGGCTGGAAATTAACACACGCTAAGCGCCAAATGTGGGTAGATTTATAGTGTAACACTTCTGCAGTTTCGCTTTTAGAAGAAAATGTAAAGATTCTGAAAAAACTAATAAGCAGCTTAAGTATAAGACTATTGGCAGCAGATTTCCATAACACACAATACTGACACCAGAAATATACATGAGTTGAACCCAACTACTCAAGCAGTGAATAGATATTCACCAGCTGTGTAATACTTCTGTTCAAATATCTGCTCTACTGTTAATCTAACTAAATGGAAAATTAAATTTTCATATTGTCACATTATAAGATTTTATTATTTGGTGCAAACCGCACCAGCAGCCATATTTCAGGGATAAAAAACTAGCGAAGACAAAGAAATATTACTGAGTTCAGGATCTGCATATTTTGCTTCCTCTTTCGAAGCAGCTTTACTCATGAAGTTACCTTAAAATGAATTTGTGTTGTAGTAACTGTAGTGGACAACGGTGTGGATTTGTGCATTTTATATTGAATGAACACACACACACACACACACGTAACCATGGCAATTGTCCTTGCTCTGTGTTTCATTACCCCATCAAAGGGATACTCCTTGTCTCACCTAAGTGTGACATAACCCAGGAAGCCGAACTTTAAATAACCAAAGACTGCAGTCTCCAAAGACTCAAAGCATTTAATTAAGTTTGCCTCTATTTGAGTAGTTATGTTACCATGTTGTTGCTATCTGTTGGTGATATTAGTGCTGAAAAGAATCTAAATAAGTTACTTTTGCAGTGTTTTTATTTTCAGCAAGACACTCCCTCATCTAATGTAATCAATGCTTGTTCATAATACTTTCCTACAAAATTCCTTTAGAATTGATGATAAAGAAATGTTTTACTATACTCTTAATCGCCAGCTTGAATTGAAGGATGAATAACTAAATTCCCCGGTTCCTAAGGAGAGATGATCTTGGATTAATCTAAGCTTTCCTCCCCCAAGTGGACGAAATAAGTATTACATGCGCTCGCTGGAAATGCTGTTAAATGTATAAATATCCCGACCAATAATGTGACATCTGTTTTCCTGTTACCAAATGCTTAACTTAGAACGGTACAACCGTTTGACCATTGAGGTTCGATTGTGGAAAATATTTGATTATAATACGCGCAGATTGATCTTCTTTTCTTTTAGACATTAAGTTTAGAAAGGCAGTCCCTCGGGAAACCCGAAACGCCCTCTGGGGAACCACGCAGGCAACAAAAGAGCGACACGCGACGTCGCTCGCTCTTCTCTCTCGGCTCGTTCTGCCCTCTGGACGCTTCGGCACGTGTCCGGCGTGCCTCGCCAGGCAACGCCCAAAGAGTCGACCAGCAACAGGCCTTCGTTTGCTTGAAGCTACACACGCGAATTGCCGCGACATCAATCTGCCTCTCAGTTTCTTTTATTTTAAGTTATCAGTCCCTTAAGTTACACTGGTCTAATTCAGGAACGACCAAGTTCCATTTTTAAGCTTTTTCGTCGAGCCAACTTCACCGAGGTCAGAACAAGCCACGTGGTCCCGCCAGCGGCAACGAAGGAAACCTGAAAACAGCCGAATTGCCAGACAGAGGACGGCGTTTTCTTCAGACACGGAGAACCCCGGAGAATCCCTAGCAAAAAGCCAGGATCGGGCAGCTAGCATGGGACCCGTGCAACAGGCCAAAGCAGGCCGTCGACAAGCCGTGAGACCTAGAGATGTACCGAAATGTTAATATTTCCTTTTAACTCCTAAATTCATAGCTTACTTTCATTAGTTCTCCTCTGCCGTATGAGTCAAATGCTTCCCACAATCGAACCTCCAGACTCATTGTGCCGCCATTGTTTATTTACCCTTTTATATCATATTAGTTAGAGAATAAATTCACTGTAATATAATCAAGAACTCTGTGTGTTGCCTATTTCTACGTCCCTGCCAAGAGAATTGACCCTTTAGATATGAGACTGACTGACTGATTTAAGATAATTGAGCGATTATTAACTAACTGATCACTAGTAATAATTGTATAATTATTAAAAACTACCTAGAGGTCCGGAGACTCTAGGATTATAACAACTCCTGTGGTGCCCTGGAACGAGGAATATTGTTGATTTTATGAATATTAAAATTCATAATTGGGTATTAATGCTCATACATCCAAACTGGAAATCCAACCTTTCATTTGGGAGATACTTAATAAAAAGGAAAACTGTTCATTAAGGGGAAATGTTGGCCTATAAAAATGCTCTATATGAAAAAGGGTCACCAAAAGCATTAAGATTCATCATCTGGAGACTATGAAAATCCATTTTAGTAGCACTGGAGACAGCAGCTGCTGAGATATCTTGCCCTGGACCAGGATGCCGGGTGGATTTTCTTTCCTTATGTTCTCGTATGCAAAGTTATACTAACAACTTTCAGCTAGTAAAAGTGTGAGCGGATGTTGGAGACACTAATTGCCACACAGAGAAGTTGCATCAGTCAAGTGTCAAAATGAGGATGCTCTGTGGTTTAATGACAGGGGCTGAAGTCAGTGGGAACTAAACAGAAGGACTGTAGCGATGGCGGAGGAGGAGGTCAACTATGCTTCAGTTGTTTTCAAAACTAAGAAGCATTCCCCATCTGAAGGTAAGTTCAGTTGTTTGAATTCATTTTATTTTTTAAATCAAGAAAAGATCTTGAAACGCATCATGTCATTGATATGGATCAAATACTGTTTCCTTGTTTACACATCAATCTGCCTGGGCCCCCACACAGCCCAGTCGTCAATTGTATGGCTGGATCTGTATGTGATCATCCTCTTCATGTGATTTCTTGCACTGGTATTTTCTTCAGTAAACTAGTAAATACATTTGAAAATTGGACTGATCAGAACATGAAATAATATTAAAGCCATTGCCCTGTAAGTTTGTTGAGCAACAAATGAACACATCTGCCTCTCGTGTTATGTGGGCAAAATAAAAAATTCAGCAGCATGACATCATGGAAATGCTGTTTTGTAAACTGTGGCTGATTGTGGTGTCTGTTCTCTTTTTCTGATCTGAATTGAGAAATTTGTTTTAACATCTGAAACCTTTGACTATCTGCAATCCACTGGGCTGTCTCTAAACTTAGTTGTTGTAATCTGCTACTCCAAAACATGCATTTGTCATATCCATATTGGAAATACATGGAAAGGTTTTGGTTTGCTTTTGTTTGATAGCGCCCATTTATGTAACAACACTGGAGATTCCACAGACCACAGCTATCAAAAACCAGTCAGGCGCATGTGTAATGAAGTGGTTATTTTAAAAGTGTTTCTCTATAAAATGCATAATTTCCCTTTCATGATCCGCTAACTGTGAGAGAACTGGATCATCTTACGTTTTAGTTGCCCTGTGAGGGTCTACAGAATACAGTTCTGGGAAAAACACTGAATTACTTTTAATTCTAAAACAAGATACTGGGACAGTCACAATAATTTCAAATGTTAAAATAAGCCTCCAAAAGCCTTTACAATTTAGACACTATACAGTAATTAACCACAAGATTGTGTTCTTCAACCTTTCAGCTAATAATGAGGAGGAAACTGTGTACAGTGATGTGAAGGTGCGAAGCAAAACAACCGAAAAGACTGCTGACACAAACGGTAAGTTCATTCAGTAGAGTATATCTATTAATACTACTATTACTGCTACAAATACTACCTCAGATTTATCGTTATTACAACCATTAAAAGGGAACTAATAGGGGGGTCATGAGGAGTACTGCTCAGCCTGTGAAAACAGTAGGAGCTTTGTTAATAACTTAGAGACTGCTAATTTTAACAAAGACTTACAAACTGGGGGTGTGGAGTTCAAAAAGATGTTGCTGTTTCACAGGCAGGGAAGCTCTAGTGAAAAGATAAAATCACCTTGAATTATGGGAAGTGTAGGATCCATTGTTTCTGGGGTTTAAGCCATACTAGGGAATTTCTATTTAGAGAATTTCTGATTTGTATTTCAACTTTCAAGTGCTTCAACTGCAACATTTATTTTACAGCCACCAATTCTTCTATTACTGCTTCTAATGCTCCTCTTAGCACAATGGCAAAAAGCACTTTTCTTAAAGAACAGGTTCACACATTTTAATATCCATCATGAAGCAAAAGTCAGGTGCCCATATGAATATTGAAACATGTTTTGCTGCCTGTAATCATTCCTCCTGTTTGTACTGACCATTAAGAGATCTTTTGTAATGTGCTTCGAATATAAGAGATGGGAGAGAAAATGTCTTTGTTCTGTGTAGAAATGTATTCCCAGGTTTATCTGAAGCTAATATGAGCCTAGCAGTCTGAGTTAGTCAAATGAAGTGGGTACCTTTACTGTCTTCTACTTACTGACTTTTTAGTGTAAAAAAGATTTTTTGTTGTAAAATTACTGTAACTTTGAAAGTTACCCTCTTGATATCGTTAACTTGGACTGCTAAAGCCTTCTATTTATATTTAGCCCCTTTTCCACTGCAAGGTACCAGCTCGACTCGCCTTTTTTGGTTTTCCATTGGGGAAAAGTTGTACCTGTACTTGCAACCAGGTACTTTGTTCTTATCACCACCGTCGAGGTTCCAAGCGAGCTGAGGTGATACTAAAATGTGACATGAAAACACAGCAGATTGCTGATTGGTCAGAGAGAATCGTCACCATTCGCTGCGTCATCATTGCGCGTGCCTGACAGAGGCCAGCAACAGACGGTTTTATATTTTACAATTTTCATGTGTAATTTCATCACTAAATCCACTTCTGAGAAGTTTTGAGGTGAGAAATCAGCTGTGTAGATTTCAAATATTGACAGTTTAGCAAAAAGTGATGGTGGAACAAAAATGTGCTTGAAAGTTTTCGGAGTTGAGTGGCGGCGGGGGCCCTGTGCCAGCCGCCCGCTCACAGAGCCCTCTGCTCCCGCCGTCACACAGACCGCTGCAGCAACAATGGCAGAGGAAAACACAGCTGGAAGGTTTTCATACCGCTTATCTGTCTTTACATTCTGAGGAATATTGAAATGTTTTAACATAAATCAAGAGACAGCTGTGTGTGGGTCGCTGGTGTGTGGCGTTGCTATGACAACTAGCTAGACTGAAGAGTACTATTGCTGCGTTCCAGCCAACTCGGAACTGGGAAATTTCCGACCTCCAACTAGAAAAAGTACTGTGGAACGCCACTTGAAGTCGGATTTCCTACTTGTGAACTCGGAGAAAAAATATGGCCCCCCGACTTCACGAGTAGCAGCTGAATGATGTCACAAAACAATGTCAGCGCCCACGGAAGCACACACTGTAAATGGTAAACCATAAACTAAAAGGCAACAAAACGTATATTTGTATGTATTTAAATTAAACTTGGAAATTTCCCAGTTCTGAACCGTCTGGAACGCGGCATATTTCTGGGTACTATCTGCAATGGAAGACGGAGGACGTCGGGACAAAACCGATTTGAGTCGCGGCAAGTTGAGCTGGTTCTGGTAATGGAAAAAACGGCATTTCTTGTTTATCCTCAGCAGGACTTTTGCCAGACAAGAAAACAAACAGCAGAGGTCACTGCTATCAGCAGGTGGCTTGTTGTTTGGGGATTCTTTGTGTCATTTTGCTGTTGGGCATCATAGCAGTCTGTGTCTACGGTAAGTATACAAAACAGGTAGTCTATGCAGTACCTCAGACTCAGACATGAGACACACCTCGAAGAATAACAGCACCAGTTTTCCTCTGTAACATTACTATAACCATAACCAAAGTATTGTAGCTTTCCTCAACCAGAAGCTATGAGATGATAGCTGGTTTTGTTCACTGTTTATTACAGAAGAAAATACAGGCTAATGTGGGCCGTAGCCAATGCCAAAAAGACAAATCTGTCTGTCACAGAGCACTACGTGCTAACATCCCTCTTTTTCAACTCTCTCTTTTCTCCTCGGTTTCTAAGCGTATCATATAGTCACAGACAGGCATAACACATTCAGTGACATCCTGGAAACTTGGAAAACATGGTGATTACGATAAACAGCCTAACAATTAAAACAAACATATCAGCTGGTCGGTTACAGTATTTCTAAACAGGTTGTTTAACCTATAGATTTCTTCCTCTATTCTAAATCATGTTACGAACAAACTTGTTTATGTGATTTTTATTTTCAACAATTTGCAACCAATTTTTACAGCCTGTTCTCATCTCAGGGCGTCAAATACCAACGCGTTCAGAAAGGTTGACAAAGTGTAGGTATTTGATGCAAAAGGTACCCTTCGGCTTTTGTAAGAGACGCCAACGTCCGCATGAGACACCCACAACAATGAACACAGCCACTGTCGAAGTTAGTACCACAGACACCGTCCTGCTGCCATAAGGCCCTGCTAGTGCACACACACACAAAAAATCCCCAACAAATACACTATTCACTGTTTAATTACTTATTACTTAAAATTATAGTTCCTAGCTGTTTTAGGCAATGTCAAATATTTAAGGGTCCAGTAGGAACCAAAGGGCTTAGGAAGTCAGAAAACATTTATTCTTTTTAGGGGATTTGTTGATCTCATAAATTAAAGACAAATAAGAGCCTACAACTCCCATAAGTCTAGAAAACCTGAAGTAAAACAGTGAAGTGACAAAGACAAAATCGTATCATTACTATCACTCAATAAGCTAATTTCCCATTTGCAGTTGCACAATGTGACACAAGCCTATACTGTCTTAAAAGCAAGATCACAAACCTGTCTGCAGAAAACCAGAACCTGACAACACAAAACCAGGAGCTGGAGACACAGAACCAGGATCTGGAGTCACAGAGGAACAACTTAACAGAACAAATACAAAACATGGAGAAAAAGTGGAATGAGCTCAACGTCAGTCGAGCTCAGTGGAGCATTGATGCCTACTGCCCAAAACCAAAGAACCAAAGTATGTTCAGATCCCATTAATAAAGTTAAAAAATAACCGACAATGATAAGAACTATATCACAATGCAGTAATGTTGTTTATTGGTTTGTCTCTGTTGTTTCAGACAGACAGTGTAAAGCTTGTCAGAAAGGTTGGATACTCTCCGAATCCAGCTGCTATGCGATTAATGACGCTGATGATTCTGGTCAGAAAACCTGGGAAGAAGCTCGAGAAGACTGCAGAGGAAAGATTTCAGATCTGGTTGTTAAACTTGATCAAAAGGAGAAGGTACAGCCTATATGAAATGAAAATGTATTTTCTGAACACACTGAGTCTGTAGGCCACAGTGTGTTTATTAAAGCAAAGAGTTTAAATATCTGATAACTGTCTCTCTGTTGTCAGACATTCATCAATAAACCAACAAAAAACGGGTAAATCTTTTGGATTATGATAAAAGTTACTGTCGGTTGATGAAAGGTGAAATGCAGCAGTGTGAGAAGATGTTGCAGATGAAGAGTGTGATTTAAATCCACTAAAGAAGAAAACTTCCCACCCAGTTCAGCGTTCACCGCTAACTAAACAACTGTCACAACTTCAAAGCAGAAATAAAAACCATTCTCTTCTCTGTGAAATATAAAATTTCGCCCACTGAGATGCAATCTAATTAATTATAATTGAAAATGATATATATTATAAAAAATTAAAACGTGTAAATGTGCTTGTATAACACAGCTGGAATGTACTTGAAATTTTCATGCATGATAAATGTGAACTCTACTGATCAAAACCTATAGTGTGATAATCCTGCACAGGAGAACCTCAGACAAACCTTGATAACACTAGAGATATACAGTACATGTGTCAAATGTATTTTCTGTGTATATGATGAAAAAAGGATGGAGATCAATGTGTGGATTATTTAGCTGATTTAGAGGGTTTAGAAAAGAAGCTGCATGAAGTCAGAAACAGTTAAAGCCACAGAGTGTTTTGTCAGTACAGTGGTTAAACATGATAAACTGATATTGTCTTTCTGTGAATATCAGAAATATGTCGACTTTAACTGGGGCAGTTATGGCTACTGGATTGGCCTGAGAGCTGAAGCTGGAAATTGGACGTGGATCAATGGAACTTTTCTAAAGACTCAAGAGTAAGATGATTTTCTAAACATCATGAATAATAAAATGTGTCAGCTGGGATCTAACCATCACGTTCTTTCCTCAGCTACTGGACAGAAACACCTTCTGGTGAAGCTCATTGTGTGATTTCTGTCGGAGGGACACCTTCCAAGAGATGGAAAGCTGTGAAGTGTGATGAGAAACATCGATGGATCTGTGAGAAGAAAGCTTTATCCGTTTAAGATCTGTAATCAGAACTGAAGAGATTACTGGATAGTCTGCACAGATGAATGACGCGTACAATAACATCAGCTGGCTTGTAAAAAAGAAAATGTATAAAAATTTCTACTACAGAATATCCTGTATTTAATTTCAAATATTGTGTATAAAGGGTTTTATTTTTCCAAGATGCTTGTGTATGGTGTGTGTGTATCACAAAAAAGACATAAACAGATCTTTGTATGTATATATGTGTAATACAGTTTTGGATTATTGATACTGTGAGTCTGACTATTGACCAGTATTTAGAAAAATACAGTGACGACTCTGCAGGGGGAGCTGAAGTGCTAATAACATCAGATATACATTTCTTCTACTTTGATGAAGCCACAATAATGAAATGTTGAATATCAGGATATGATGAGATCCATGAGAGGAATCCATAAAACCTGTCTTTTGTAATTGCAGGATTAAAATTGTTAATACTGATTAGTCCACAGGGAGTGATGTCAAACTCTACAAAATGTTTCCCGGTCTGTTTTCATGATCATCTGTATTTTCGTAATATTCTGGTATTTAAACAATAAATGTATATGTAGAGGTGACAGGTTTGATGTTAGCCATCTATCTATATAGTTTAGTTAGTGTGACTGCAGATATTTGTTTTTTATCACTGTTGGTCACAAATAAATTATCTTCACAATTTCAAGTACATTTGGAGGAAAAAGCAAACTGTGTATTTTACATTTAGACAAACTAAAGACCCAGTTGATACATTAACACCTCATGTAAAGGGGCTCATTCTAAATATAAGCTGGTAACAGATTGGATTAATCAAACCTTTGTGTATTAACATGTATTTTAGGCAACTAGATTCTGCAGATTTCTGACTTTGCTCCCCCAGTGGTACTGTGACAAGAGACTCTCTGCAGACAGCAGTACACACCACCAGACTTCCCTTCACAATATGTTATTAGCGTCCAAGATATAAAAAAAAAACACCGTCAAAACTTCAAAGCAGAAGTCCACCGAAGACCAACGCAGCAAACACACCATCTAACACCAGCGACACTTTGCAGCTTGAGACTTTCCTTAAAACCGTCACACAGGACTGAAACAGGATTTGAAACATTTGTTCAAGATGAACAGAAAACCACTGAAGGCAACTGGCACTTTAAACAATTCTACTGTTCAACTATCTGCAGGTAAGATATTTTCTACTACTAAGTATTTTTGTGGTGTTTTTCTACCATGTATTATGCTTCTGGTTGTTGACAACAGCTGAGCACCAGATGGTTTTAAAATGGTCAAATTCATTTCCAGTTGCATCTTTTGCATTATGATTATTCCACTCTGCTCAACACATTGGAAATATTAACATTTAATATTTTTTTCTCTGAGAAAAATTGAGGAAGAAGCTGCCTCCCGTAACAGCACTGTAAAAAGAATGACAGCCAACTGAAGTACATTGCAAACGACTTATTATTATTAACAGAATTATTTTTAATGACTTATTAAAGAAAAAGCAAGTTGTGTATTTTTAAAAGGATTTCTGTTTGTTTATTGGGTCTTCAGTTTTCAGGAAAGATATCTGATTGTGATAAAAAGTCAGTGTTGAGAAGCTGCTGATGAAAGGTGAACTTCAGTGTTAGAAGAAGCTGCAGACAAACAGGGCAGCTTAAAACTTATGAGGTGAAGGCTTCCTTGTAAATTCCTTGAGAACCTTGAAAATTTTCAATTTATTAGAGAGCACCTTGCCTATAAACATTACATTTTCAAAGGTAACAGGCAGATACTTTCTGGATTATGGATGGAATCTTTTACATCCAGGGTGCTCAACATATTAGTGAATCTGTAAAAACATTCAGTTTAAACATTTAACATTTGTGTTTGATCTGTATAACTTTCAGATGTAATCGAGGAAGAAGCTGACTATGTTAATGCAGCAGTAGGTGCTGTGGATAGAATGGCCGTCACTTCAGGTGCATTATGAACACAACACATTTCACAAATATTATGTTGTTAAGCATGAAATTTATTTCTCAACCATGATGTAAGAAAATGTGATGAAGGTTAAAAATGTGAAAGCTTAATGGTTCCATTTTAAAAGTATTCAAAGCACCTTTGACTGTTAAATCATGTTTTTGTGTTTCAACTAAATTCTTATTTTTCTGTCAGATCAGAAGTTTCTCTCCTTCACTCCGTCTTTTCCAGCAGTGGCAGTGTGCTGGGTGATTCTGTCAGTGATCATGGCCCTTCGTATCTACTGTGAGTACCTTCTATTAAAATGTCAGTTAGAATCTAAGTTTTTTTTTTCTTCTTAGCTTGTTGTTTGAGTCCTTATTTAAAAAGACTATCTAATGTTTTTAGTCCATTTTAAAACAATAATCAGGCGCCCATTATGTACACTGAAGCAGATTGTGGTTGGTGTCATTCTTCCTCTTTTTCATACTGGACTTGTGTAAAAATGGATTCCACTGTTAATTTGTAGCTGATATGAGGCTTCAGCAGTGTGAGTTAGAGAAATAAAGTGTGTATCAGCCTTTCGCTTCACTGCTGGGGAGGGAGGGGCACGAGGGGTTGGCGGTGGCGAGCTGGCCTGGGCTGGGTGGCCTTGCTTCCTTGGTGTGGGTGGGGCTGCCGGTCTGGCCCATAGGGGCCGTTAGGCCTTTCTGTCCCAGGACCACTCTAGCCTACCTATAACCTCTTTTACCTCCCCCCTTTCGGTCATGTCTCACTACATACACCATTAGGACTCTGGGAGGCAGGCAGGCTGCAGGGCGTTTGGTGGGTGGGGCTGCTTTATTGTGGCCTCACCCTCCTTCTTCCTCCTCCACTGGCTGCCCCTCAATTTTAATTGCACATTAGACACAGAGGGCTTGGGGGGTGGGAGGGGTACATCGGGGGGCTCCTACCTGTCAGTTGTGGGGTGCCTGCGTCGCAACTACCCTCCATTTTTAACTGCACCTTAGTTACCACACACCTTATCTTCACCATACAGCACTTCACCGTCCATGACATGCATCCAACACAATACATTTACAGAGGCAGGCGGGGGGTGTTGAAGGTGTGTGGGGGGCCACATTGGCCTCACGTGGGTGTCGGGGGGCGCCATGGGATAGGTGTCTGCCTTTCCTGGCCTGGGTTGGGTCGAGGGGGGGCGTGGCTCCCCTGGTGTGGGGGCCCACTCTGGACCCGGGAGTCCAGAGCCTCTGGCTCTTGCTCATGTCTGGGACGGGTGGTGTGTCACATGTAGACACACACCCATACAGACAGACACATAGGCACAGAAACACATTTAGGCTGACCCTGGTTATCACAGGAAGAACTTTTCTTTATGCTGTTTATTGCTGCTGTTCGGCTGGTTGTCTTTGTTTTTGTTTTTTTTATAAACATGTGACCCTGTCTTTTTAATATTATTTATGGTCATATAAGCACTTCTTTAATAGTGATTTGTATAAAATGTATTATTATAATTATGTGTATGTCTCACAGTCCAACACCTTCCTCTGTCTGTCACTGTAGTTACTTCTGTCATTTCTGAACACAACGCAAAGCTGACTGCAGAAAACCAGATCCTGACAACACAAAACCAGGATCTGGAGTCACAGAGGAACAACTTAACAGAACAAATACAAAACATGGAGACAAAGTGGAATGAGCTCAACGTCAGTCGAGCTCAGTGGAGCATTGATGCCTACTGCCCAAAACCAAAGAACCAAAGTATGTTCAGATCCCATTAATAAAGTTAAAATATAACTGACAATGATAAGAACTATATCACAATGCAGTAATGTTGTTTATTGGTTTGTCTCTGTTGTTTCAGACAGACAGTGTAAAGCTTGTCAGAAAGGTTGGATACTCTCAGAATCCAGCTGCTATGCGATTAATAACCCTGGTGTTTCTGGTCAGAAAACCTGGGAAGAAGCTCGAGAAAACTGCAGAAGAAAGATTTCAGATCTGGTTGTTAAACTTGATCAAAAGGAGAAGGTAATGAGAACACTGAACATTTTTATGACAGCCTATATGAAATGAAAATGTATTTTCTGTCTGAACACACTGAGTCTGTAGGCCACAGTGTGTTTAAGTACAGAGTTTAAATATTTGATAACTGTCTCTCTGTTAATAAACAAACAAAACGGGCAAATCTATTTGATTATGATAAAAATGACTGTCCGTTGATGAAAGGTGAAATGCAGCAGTGTGAGAACAAACAGTGTAGCTTAAAACCACTAAAGTAGAAAACTTCCCACCATCAACTCAGCATTCACCACTAACCAAACAACAACTGTCACAACTTCTAAGCAGAACTAAAAACCATTCTCTTCTCTGTGAAATATAACATTGGTACACTGTAAACCTTGTTCTTTTGATTTTTAAAAGTTTAAACTTTTATTTCTCCCCCTGAGATGATCTAACTAATTGTAATTGAAAATGATATATATTATACAAAAATGAAAACACTAAATAAAAATGTATGTATTTCTTAACACAGCTGGAATGTACTTGAAATTTTCATGCATGATAAATGTGAACTCTACTGATCAAAACCTATAATGTGATATTCCTGCACAGGAGAACCTCAGACAAACTTTCATAACACTAGAGATTCTGTGTATATGATGAAAAAAGGATGGAGATCAATGTGTGGATTATTTAGCTGATTTAGAGGGTTTAGAAAAGAAGCTGCATGAAGTCAGAAACAGTTAAAGCCACAGAGTGTTTTGTCAGTACAGTGGTTAAACATGATAAACTGATATTGTCTTTCTGTGAATATCAGGAATATATTGATTTTCCCTGGGGCAGTTATGACTACTGGATTGGCCTGAGAGTTGAAGCTGGAAATTGGACGTGGATCAATGGAACTTTTCTAAAGACTCAAGAGTAAGATGATTTTCTAAACACCATGAATAATAAAATGTGTCAGCTGGGATCTAACCATCACGTTCTTTCCTCAGCTACTGGACAGAAGCACCTTCTGGTGAAGCTCATTGTGTGATTTCTGTCGGAGGGACACCTTCCAAGAAATGGAAAGCTGTGAAGTGTGATAAGAAACATCGATGGATCTGTGAGAAGAAAGCTTTATCTGTTTAAGATCTGTAATCAGAATTGAAGAGATTACTGGATAGTCTGCACAGATGAATGACGCGTACAATAACATCAGCTGGCTTGTAAAAAAGAAAATTCGTAAAATTCTACTTCAGAATTTGTTGAATTTAATTTCAAGTATGAATGTATAAGGGGTTTTATTTTTCAAATATACTTGCATATAATAAATAAATAAATAAATAATAAAGTAATGTATTTGTGTCTGCATGTGTGTGTATCAAAAAAAAGACAAACAGATTTAAATGTGTATATATGTGTAATACAGTTTTGGATTATTGATACTGGGAGTCTGACTATTGACCAGTATTTAGTAAAATACAGTGCTAATAACATCAAATATGGATTTCTTCTACTTTGATGAAGCCACAATAATGAAATATTGAATATCAGGATATGATGAGATCCAACAGAGGAACCTACAAACTGTTCAAAGTCTCCATAAAGCCTGTATTTTGTAATTGTAACATCTGAATTGTTGCTATTGATCAGCCAACAGGGAGTGATGTCAAACTCTACAAAATGTTTCCAGGTCTGTTTTAATAATCATCTGTATTTTGATGATGACAGTATATGTGTATGTAGAGGTGACAGGTTTGATGTTCTCTATCTATCTTGTGTTTTTATCTTAAAGCAGCTTTTTATTTAGTGAATAAATTTGTTACGCTGTGACCTGTTTAAGAAGCAGATCTTACCTCAGTGTGTTTGCTCCATTCGAGTGTTAATCTCATTAATCTGTTACACTATCATCATCAGCACAGGACAGCAAGTCTCAGTAATTAAGGAAGAATCATATTGTGGGTTTTAGAAAGAGGAATTCTATAGGTTTTCTTCTCCCTCATGTTTCTGGTCTGTTTAAAAGAACTGAAATAAAGTAGACAAAAGTCACCATGAGAAGTGTCAGTGCTCAGGGAGTGCAGGAGAAATGATTTGTTGATAGATCTAATCTAATCTAGATCTGAATTCATCACATTCTGTACCTGGTTCACTCTCTAACACTGCAGCTGCTCTCAGAGCTTCTCCCGCTGAAGCTCTCTGAAGCAAGAGAGGCCATTTTCCTTTAGGCCAGTTTTTACCTTCTCAAAAACATGTCCAATAATGTTAACTTACAGTCAGTAATCATCCAGACACAGTTTATGTGTAGACCTATTTACATTGACTGTAAGATTCAGAATCAATTAACAAATGTCAAATAATCGATTATTTAAATGTTAACTGATTGCATAATGTTGACCAATGAAGGTTGAGGTCAAGGGCAACTGGACTTGGTTGAAGAAACTAGAAGACATTTCGTCCCTCATCCAAGGGACTTCTTCATTTCTGACTGACTGGTGAGGAAACTCAGCTATTTAACTTCTGTGGGATCGTTAGCTAGGATCGTCGATACCGCTGGTTCGTTAGTGCTCCTGGCTGTGGTAACGACAGTCGTCATGGTCGTTAGAGCCACCCGTGGCCAAGTCTGATCGACCATCGTTGGTGTCTTCACCTGAGACCAAGAGGAAATGTTTGTTCAGTTTCCTTAAGGAAGCCATTTACACCCGGGTTGAGAAGCCGTTGTTGAACAGAGGAGGGGTCTACGCCACCACTTGTCACCCACTTACAATGCTGTCCTTTCATCGCTTCCCAGGAAACTCAACAAGCATTTCCTGTGTGTATGTTTTGCACCAGGCATTTCCTTAGAACTCTGACTGGACATGTTTATCATCATGAAATCATGACGCTTTATTTTCCAGATTATTTCTCTACATACGCATCTCCTGCTTTCCTACACAGCATGATTACTTTTATTAAAACATAGAATCAGCTCTGGAAAGGTTGGTGTGATATGCCCACTAGAAGGCCTATGTTTTGTCTTCTTTAAATACCAACCATGTCCCTTAGTCATGAGTATTTAGCGACACTTTCCTCCCGGTTTTTCTCTTTTTAACTCTTTCACCACTGGCACTTCTGATGGACAGAAGGCGAAGGCTTTTACATAGAGAAATTCAAACGTTAATGTTCTTTGTCAGTCATGTGTAAAAACCTCTCCATTGTGATGTATAACATATGTGCATTTGACCATTACAGTTTAAAATAACACTCTAGCAGCTGGAGAGAGGCTCAGTGAACTTTTAAGGGGAAGTAATGATTGATGGGTGTGTAAAGAGTGCACCCTCCTATGGAATTTGACCTCTGACCCAGTGTTAGGGGGAGTAGAGAGTAGTGTGTATGAAGGGACTGAACCCTTCTATGGTGTCTGACACCACACCATCTCTACTGTGGGTGAGTTCATTTAGTCATCGTGAGACATTAATTGTGTTTTCTGACACTACACCAAGCAAAGTAAAAATATTAGCTAACCTTTTACAGCATACGTGCATTTTATTTCTTAATATTGTCTTTTGTTCATCTTTAATACAAAAACATGGTTTGAACAATATGGTTTGAAGTTCATATTCAGCCAGTAATGGATGCAAATTCCTTTCTCAACCAAAAGCACACGTTTGTCATTTCAAGGTCATGAGTGACAGACTCAGCTGACCAGAGGAAGCAACCAGTTCTCCTATGAAGATCCTCTGTAGTGTAATAACAGTGGCACTTCTCTGTCTACAAGTCAGATAGAACTCAACAGGGGGACTGAAGGGATGGTGGAGGAGGACGTCAAATATGCTTCAGTTGCATTCAGAACTAACAAGCTTTCCCCACCTGAAGGTAAGTTTTGTTTTTAACACATTGTTTTTTTATATCAAGAAAATATCTCTTAAAATGCATTGACATGGCTCAGATACTGTATTTTTTTCTGTATTACACATTTCTGCACATGGTGCTTAGGGGCATTACAAGGCAGCGCCACTTTCACTATACGTCATAGAGGGGAATATAATTTCAGCCGAGCCAGCCAAGATCTCCCTGGGCCCCGACATGGCCCAGCTGCCAATTCTAGAGTGTTTGTTTAAAAATGTAAAATGATGTGATGTTGAAGGTATCTGATACTGCCAACATTACATTCTTAGAGGAGTTGTATATCCAATTGTTGAAATATATATCTGTCATATACATATTAAACATATTGGACATACTCATGTGTTTTGTTTTGCTTTTATTTAGTATTTCCCTTTTATGTAACCCACACTAGAGATTCCCCTCTGACCACAGCTAACTAAAACCAGCAGAATGTGTAAAGAACTAGTTTCCCCATAAAATGCAGAGTTTCCCCTTTCATGATCCGCTAAGTGTGAGAGATTTGGATCATCTTGTGTTTTAGCGGCACTGTGAGGGTCTACAGAATACAGTTCTGGAAAAAAAATATTTTCATTCTAAGAGAAAATACTGGTTCAAATGCAATCAGTAATTAACCACAACATTGTGTTTTTCAACCTTTCAGCTAAAAAGGAGGGGGAAACTGTGTACGAAGAAGTGAAGCCTGCTGGCACAAGCGGTAAATTGGAAAGAAAAATGTAGTATTATTGCAAGTGGGAATATTTCTTGTAATATTACTGCTAAAACAACTACCACTACTTGAAAGTTATTACTACCATTAAAAAGGAACTAGTTCAGGAGCTTTGTCAACAACCTGATGATGCCATCGTTTTTGTCTTAGAGGCTGCACAGTTATAACAATGTAAAGCTTGTCAGGGTGGCTGGTTACCCTCCCTCTCTGGTAACTCTTGTTTTACAAAAACAATTTATTTAAAATATATTTTTTTACGTTTTCATAGAAAAAAGCAAACAATTTATTAGTATGGCTCCTACATGGAGTTAGTGGAGGGACAGAAGAGAAGTCACAATGAACATCAGGACATTTGAACAAAGACAAGGTAACCATTTTATTGATGGATATAATTGTCTATTATCATAAGCACATAGATTATGTAAAGTGAGTTCCACTTGCTGATTAAGCTCTAACCTGGGGTAGGGATGGGTATCATTACTCAGTACCTTTATGTTACCGACCGAAACAGCCCGGTGTCGAGTAGAACCCAAAACGTCTCCAGTCAAACCAATACTTCAATGATAGACCTACTTTTTGTAACCAGATTACTATGGGGTTCCGTTTGTGCCAAAAATAAGTCGGCATGCTTACTGTCTATGTCGATGCTTCACATGACTGTGTCAACTCAACTTGTTTATTTCGTCTGTTGCCGTCCTTGTCATTTGACTGTGATGTCTTGCTCTGTCTTTGCTAACTGTGAATGTTACTACATGTCGTCTCCCCCTGTCGTTGCAATGTGTCGTTACTACATGTAATCTCCCCCTGTCATTGCAATGTGTCGTTACTACATGTCGTCTCCCCCTGTCGTTGCAATGTGTCGTTACTACATGTCGTCTCCCCCTGTCGTTGCAATGTGTCGTTACTACGTGTCGTCTCCCCCTGTCGTTGCTATGTGTCGTTACTACGTGTCGTCTCCCCCTGTCGTTGCTATGTGTCGTTACTATGTGTCGTCTCCCCCTGTCGTTGCAATGTGTCGTTACTACATGTCGTCTCCCCCTGTCGTTGCTATGTGTCGTTACTACATGTCGTCTCCCCCTGTCGTTGCTATGTGTCGTTACTACATGTCGTCTCCCCGTCGTTTCTATGTGTCGTTACTACATGTCGTCTCCCCGTCGTTGCTATGTGTCGTTACTACATGTCATTACTACATGTCATTACTACATGTCGTCTCCCCGTCGTTGCTATGTGTCGTTACTACATGTCGTCTCCCCGTCGTTTCTATGTGTCGTTACTACATGTCGTCTCCCCTGTCGTTGCTATGTGTCGTTACTACATGTCGTCTCCCCCTGTCGTTGCTATGTGTCGTCTCCCCCTGTCGTTGCAATGTGTCGTTACTACATGTCGTCTCCCCCTGTCGTTGCTATGTGTCGTCTCCCCCTGTCGTTGCAATGTGTCATTACTACATGTCATTACTACATGTCGTCTCCCCCTGTCGTTGCAATGTGTCGTTACTACATGTCGTTACTACATGTCGTCTCCCCCTGTCGTTGCTATGTGTTGTCTCCCCGTCGTTGCTATGTGTCGTTACTACATGTCGTCTCCCCCTGTCGTTGCAATGTGTCGTTACTACATGTCGTCTCCCCCTGTCGTTGCAATGTGTTGTTACTACATGTCGTCTCCCCCTGTCGTTGCAATGTGTCGTTGCTACATGTCGTCTCCCCGTCGTTGCAATGTGTCGTTGCTACATGTCGTCTCCCCGTCATTGCTAAGTGTCGTTACTATGTGTCGTCTCCCCCTGTCGTCTCCCCGTCGTTGCTAAGTGTCGTTACTATGTGTCGTCTCCCCCTGTGTAGTGTGTCGTTACTACTACGTATTGTTACTACGTGTTGTTACTACGTGTTGTTACTACGTATTGTTACTACGTGTTGTTACTACGTGTTGTTACTACGTGTTGTCTCCCTATGTCGTTGCTATGTGTCGTTACTACGTGTCGTTGCTATGTGTCGTTACTACGTGTCGTTGCTATGTGTCGTTACATGTCTCCCCATCGTTGCTATGTGTCGTTGCTATGTGTCGTTACATGTCTCCCCGTCGTTGCTATGTGTCGTTGCTATGTGTAGTTACATGTCTCCCTCTGTCGTTGCTATGTGTCGTTGCTATGTGTAGTTACATGTCTCCCTCTGTCGTTGCTATGTGTCGTTGCTATGTGTAGTTACATGTCTCCCTCTGTCGTTGCTATGTGTCGTTGCTATGTGTCGTTGCTATGTGTAGTTACATGTCTCCGTCTGTCGTTGCTATGTGTCGTTGCTATGTGTAGTTACATGTCTCCCTCTGTCGTTGCTATGTGTCGTTGCTATGTGTCGTTGCTATGTGTAGTTACACGTCTCCCTCTGTCGTTGCTATGTGTCGTTACATGTCTCCCCGTCGTTGCTATGTGTAGTTACATGTCTCCCTCTGTCGTTGCTATGTGTCGTTGCTATGTGTAGTTACATGTCTCCGTCTGTCGTTGCTATGTGTCGTTACTACGTGTCGTCTCCCTCTGTCGTTGCTATGTGTAGTTACATGTCTCCCTCTGTCGTTGCTATGTGTAGTTACATGTCTCCCCATCGTTGCTATGTGTCGTTGCTATGTGTCGTTACATGTCTCCCCGTCGTTGCTATGTGTCGTTGCTATGTGTAGTTACATGTCTCCCTCTGTCGTTGCTATGTGTCGTTGCTATGTGTAGTTACATGTCTCCCTCTGTCGTTGCTATGTGTCGTTGCTATGTGTAGTTACATGTCTCCCTATGTCGTTGCTATGTGTCGTTGCTATGTGTCGTTGCTATGTGTAGTTACATGTCTCCGTCTGTCGTTGCTATGTGTCGTTGCTATGTGTAGTTACATGTCTCCCTCTGTCGTTGCTATGTGTCGTTGCTATGTGTCGTTGCTATGTGTAGTTACACGTCTCCCTCTGTCGTTGCTATGTGTCGTTACATGTCTCCCTGTCGTTGCTATGTGTAGTTACATGTCTCCCTCTGTCGTTGCTATGTGTCGTTGCTATGTGTAGTTACATGTCTCCGTCTGTCGTTGCTATGTGTCGTTACTACGTGTCGTCTCCCTCTGTCGTTGCTATGTGTAGTTACATGTCTCCCTCTGTCATTGCTATGTGTAGTTACATGTCTCCGTCTGTCGTTGCTATGTGTCGTTACTACGTGTCGTCTCCCTCTGTCGTTGCTATGTGTCGTTGCTATGTGTAGTTACATGTCTCCGTCTGTTGTTGCTATGTGTCGTTACTACGTGTCGTCTCCCTCTGTCGTTGCTATGTGTAGTTACATGTCTCCCTCTGTCGTTGCTATGTGTCGTTGCTATGTGTAGTTACATGTCTCCCTCTGTCATTGCTATGTGTCGTTACTACGTGTCGTCACCCTCTGTCGTTGCTATGTGTAGTTACATGTCTCCCTCTGTCGTTGCTATGTGTCGTTACATGTCTCCCTCTGTCATTGCTATGTGTCGTTACATGTCTCCCCGTCGTTGCTATGTGTCGTTGCTATGTGTCGTTACATGTCTCCCTCTGTCATTGCTATGTGTCGTTACTACGTGTTGTCTCCCTCTGTCGTTGCTATGTGTCGTTACATGTCTCCCCGTCGTTGGTATGTGTCGTTGCTATGTGTAGTTACATGTCTCCGTCTGTCGTTGCTATGTGTCGTTACTACGTGTCGTCTCCCTCTGTCGTTGCTATGTGTAGTTACATGTCTCCCTCTGTCGTTGCTATGTGTAGTTACATGTCTCCCTCTGTCGTTGCTATGTGTCGTTGCTATGTGTAGTTACATGTCTCCGTCTGTCGTTGCTATGTGTCGTTACTACGTGTCGTCTCCCTCTGTCGTTGCTATGTGTAGTTACATGTCTCCCTCTGTCGTTGCTATGTGTCGTTGCTATGTGTAGTTACATGTCTCCCTCTGTCATTGCTATGTGTCGTTACTACGTGTCGTCACCCTCTGTCGTTGCTATGTGTAGTTACATGTCTCCCTCTGTCGTTGCTATGTGTCGTTACATGTCTCCCTCTGTCATTGCTATGTGTCGTTACATGTCTCCCCGTCGTTGCTATGTGTCGTTGCTATGTGTCGTTACATGTCTCCCTCTGTCATTGCTATGTGTCGTTACTACGTGTTGTCTCCCTCTGTCGTTGCTATGTGTCGTTACATGTCTCCCTCTGTCGTTGCTATGTGTCGTTGCTATGTGTAGTTACATGTCTCCGTCTGTCGTTGCTATGTGTCGTTACTACGTGTCGTCTCCCTCTGTCGTTGCTATGTGTAGTTACATGTCTCCCTCTGTCGTTGCTATGTGTAGTTACATGTCTCCCTCTGTCATTGCTATGTGTAGTTACATGTCTCCGTCTGTCGTTGCTATGTGTCGTTACTACGTGTCGTCTCCCTCTGTCGTTGCTATGTGTAGTTACATGTCTCCCTCTGTCGTTGCTATGTGTAGTTACATGTCTCCCTCTGTCATTGCTATGTGTAGTTACATGTCTCCCTCTGTCGTTGCTATGTGTCGTTGCTATGTGTCGTTACATGTCTCCCCGTCGTTGCTATGTGTAGTTACATGTCTCCCTCTGTCGTTGCTATGTGTCGTTGCTATGTGTAGTTACATGTCTCCGTCTGTCGTTGCTATGTGTCGTTACTACGTGTCGTCTCCCTCTGTCGTTGCTATGTGTAGTTACATGTCTCCCTCTGTCGTTGCTATGTGTCGTTGCTATGTGTAGTTACATGTCTCCCTCTGTCATTGCTATGTGTCGTTACTACGTGTCGTCACCCTCTGTCGTTGCTATGTGTAGTTACATGTCTCCCTCTGTCGTTGCTATGTGTCGTTACATGTCTCCCTCTGTCATTGCTATGTGTCGTTACATGTCTCCCCGTCGTTGCTATGTGTCGTTGCTATGTGTCGTTACATGTCTCCCTCTGTCATTGCTATGTGTCGTTACTACGTGTTGTCTCCCTCTGTCGTTGCTATGTGTCGTTACATGTCTCCCCGTCGTTGGTATGTGTCGTTGCTATGTGTAGTTACATGTCTCCCTCTGTCATTGCTATGTGTCGTTACTACGTGTCGTCTCCCTCTGTCGTTGCTATGTGTCGTTACATGTCTCCCCGTCGTTGCTATGTGTCGTTGCTATGTGTAGTTACATGTCTCCCTCTGTCATTGCTATGTGTCGTTACTACATGTCATCTCCCTGTGTTGTTATGTGTCCTTTATTCATCAATGTGATGCGTCGTTTGACTGCACTATGATTGTCCTCCTGATGTGTGGACTTGATGTGTTATCAAGTTGACCAAATTTCCCAGCTAAATGAGACGAAAGCGGCACACACCCTGGCCCTGCTGCAGTGGCAACGGGGGCTGCCAGTATGGTCCCATCTAAGGCAGTTATTGAAGATTACACCTTGCCACATTAATACAACCAATGAAGATTAGCTGGCTAAAGGTGATTTAAATTTATTGAAACAAACTCAGCATTATGTTTTAATGGGCTACATTATAGGCTAATTATAAAATATTAACCCTCGCGCTACCCTTCCGGGTCCGTGTGACCCCGCAGGAGGCCGCTGTTTCTCTCGCTTACGTGTCATGAACGAATACGAGTTGTTGGGGAAATGTACAGATTGGAGAGCGTAGAGTGGTCCGTGAGCGAGCGAGAGAGGCAGAGAGAGGTAGAGAGAAGTAGAGAGAATAGTAAAGACAATAGTAAAGAGAATAGTAAAGAGAATAGTAAAGAGAGCGGTAGCTGATGTTGTAGGCCTGCCTCGGAGGGTCAGGGTGACCCGGAGAGAGAGCCAAACGCGTGTCCGTCTGGGTCACCGTGACCCGCAGCAGCAACAACAGAGAGACACGGGGGTCAATCTGACCCGCGGAGTACAAGACCAGCGAGTAACAAAAAAAAAAAACAAAACAAAAACAAAACCACCTCTTCTATCGGGTCAGATAGACCCGCGAGCACCCTTTCCCTCTCGCGTACGCTACGAGAGGATACGCTCATACGGTTTACCGTAACCTGGCCTGCCATGGGTCACCCTGACCCGGCCGCACTAAAAAAAAAAAAACCGTTCACAGGATACGATCATACGGTTTACTGTAACCTGGCCTGCCATGTGGGGTCATCCTGACCCGGCCGCACTACAAACCGTTCGCATTACATTTGATGACATTATTACGAGCGCTCGGGGTTGAGGGTCAGGCTGACCCGCGTGATATAAAGCGAACGAAGCCCTTTAGGGTCAGGCTGACCCGCGTGATATAAAGCGAACAAAGCCCACGCGGGTCAGACTGACCCAACCCCGAGCGCGTAACCCTATTATTAACGGACACGCGGGTTCACGCAAAGGTCATCGAAGCCACAGACCGTAACCATGGAGAATCCCGCGCAGGCGCGCAACGAGGCTAGCGGTAACGGATCCCACTCGGACAGCGAGTACGATTACGAGGACCGCGAAGAGTGCGAACTGCAGCAAATAGGTGGTGGTGAAGAAGACAACGAAGAAGAAGAAGACAACGAAGAAGAAGAAGAAGAAGAAGAAGAACAACACCCATCGCGCACGCAACCACTACCCAGGAGCGACCTCGCGTCCAAAAACGGAGCTTTCATCTGGACGCGCACCGCTCCGCGCGATGTCTCTTCAGCGACCGCTGCCCCTCATATTCCTCATCATCATAATAATAATAATAATCATGCTTCTCGTACTCGCACCCCCAATCCCCCGCCGCCCGGACCCACCCCGTACGCGCTTTCCCTGGTGAGCGACATACCTTCCGCGTTCGAGCTCTTCTTTACGCGCGCGATCCGTGCGCTCGTCTTGGAGATGACGAACCTGCATGCCGAGCGCACGAGCTACGGTCTGCGCAACCCGTGGTGGAAAGCGGGCATGGGCGAAGCGAGCTGCGCGCTTACGCGGCCTCCTCATCCTCGCGGGCGTGTACAGGTCCCGGGGAGAGGCCGCGGCGAGCCTGTGGGACGCGGAGAGCGGACGCTCGATATTCCGAGCGACCATGCCACTGAAAGCGTTCTACGCGTACTCTACGCTGCTGCGCTTCGACGACCGCGAGACGAGGGCGCAGAGGAGATCCTCGGATAAGCTCGCCGCGGTGAGAGAACTCTGGGACAGGTGGGCCGACAGGCTGCCCTACATGTACAACCCCGGACCCGATGTCACCGTGGACGAACAGCTGGTCCCCTTCAGAGGTACGTGGTGGTATCGCGCTAATCGCGTGGCCCGTTTATTAGCTTGTATCGGTTGTTTAGGTGTTTTTTTTCTTTTTATGTGTGTGTTACGAGAAAGAAGGAACGCGAAATGCATAAACGCACAGCACCGTTCACAAGTCTAATATAATATTATAGAGAGCGTTGGCAGTTACATTTACGAGCGTGGGTGCGTGCGTGCGTGCGTGTGTCAGCTTCTCTATTATTTGTCCTAAGATAAAAATCTCCTCTCCTCTCCTCTCCTCTCCTCTCCTCTCTTCTCCTCTCCAGGTCGCTGCCCCTTCAGACAATACATGCCCAGCAAACCGGCCAAATACGGGATCAAGTCTTGGGTTCTGTGCGATGCCAAATCCAGCTACGCGTGGAAGATGCAGGTCTACCTGGGGAAAGATAATAAACCCTGTAACACTACTACCACCGCCGGAGAGTCTACTAGTCTATCGTCTTCAGCAGCGACCCGCGCGCGTCCCGAAAAAAACCAAGGCACGCGCGTGGTACTGGATCTAACGGCCGACCTCCTCGGACCGCGCAACGTGACCTGCGACAACTTCTTCACGTCCTACGAGCTCGGCCAGCGGCTCCTAGACGCGAACCTGACCATGCTCGGAACCGTTAGGAAGAACAGACCCGAGCTCCCTACCGCGCTCATCTCCGCTAAAGGTAGAGCCGCATTCTCATCCGAGTTCGCGTTCGCTACCGGACCGGGACCGGGAGGAAACAGAACCACCACGCTGGTCTCGTACGTACCGAAGAAAAACAAGAACGTGCTGGTGATGACTACGCTACCGTGGCGCTCTCGAACCGCAGGACCATCATCCTCAGCGGCAACTTCATCGTTCACCGCGAGCGGACTCAGCGAGCGCCCCGATCGCAAACCCGAGCTGGTGCTCAAGTACAACGCGACCAAGGGAGGAGTCGACAACCTGGACAAGCTGGTGGCCACCTACAGTTGCAGGAGGATGACCTCCCGCTGGCCCGTGGCCGTGTTCCACAACATACTCGACGTGTCCGCGTACAACGCTTACGTGATATGGCGAGAAACGAACCCGGGCTGGCTGTCCGGGCATCGCAACAAGCGCAGGTTCTTCCTCGAGCAGCTGGGTAAAGCGCTCGTGGCCCCTCTTATAGAGAAAAGACGCGGGCTGCCCCGCTCCGAGGCCTCGCTCGCGCTGGTCCGATGCGTGAGAACCGCTGCGAGCGCGAACGCGAACGCGAGCGGGGCTCGGTGCGAGTCTCGTCCGCATTCTCGTGCTCATCCTCATCCACAACCGCCTTCGCGAGAGGACCCCTCTGAAACTGGGTCACGTGACAGAACCGAACCGCTCCAGCAGCAGCAGCAGCAGCAGCAGCAGCAGAAACCCCAAGCCAGCAAGAGGAAGCGGTGTCAGATATGCCCCGCTAAAAAAGACAGCAAAACCTTCACCACGTGCCGAGGCTGCAGCAAGTACGTGTGCAGGAGCTGCGCGCTTCCGTACTGCCCTTCGTGCGTGTGAGCGCGTGCGCGTGGTACACACGGAGGAGATGAACGAAGATCGAGATAGCGGGAGGGTTAATGACATTATTATGAATTAATCTAATAGCGCATTACCGTAGTTATTCATTTTCTCAAAATTACAATATGTATACCAGATCAACAATGTTCATCATCCAATGTAACAATACCATTAGCCATCCAAAGTAGAAATTAGTTTATATTCTCTCATAACCAGACCTCAACATGTACTTTAATATAGAAGTGACTGTACACCGCATTGTAGTTTGGGGACGCCACTTCACTTAAAAGTAATGTGATTAAAAAGTCCATTTGTGTCTACGTTTTATTCTATTCCCAAAAAATCTGGTCTGTTTTGAAAAATTCTCATTACAGTAAACAAAAAGCTGGGGTTGTGCTACAAAGATGGACAGTAGATATCTGCAGAGGACAGATAGTTACAGACCGGTTGTATTCGAGTCTCTGAAGTGGAAGAGCCACCAAGTAAGAATCTCACACACTGAAAAATCTGCTTTATGAAAAAACAATTGTTTTTTGGTTCCTCTTCAAGGGCTGAGCCGACAAGCAATTAACATCAGTGTTTAGGGACAAATACACATTTTCAAATAGCGGTTCATGATCAATCATCACTACCTTTGACCAAAGACAGAAATAATGGACTATTTTCTGAGTGTTTATTTGTGTCATATTTACAAAGCACAATGGTTGGACTATTTTTGTTTCGCTCTTGGCATTGCTGATGCTAAAGTTAGTGGTTTGATGCAACAGAAAATACAACTTGTACTGACCAGCAGACCCACCAAATTCATCTGCTAAATGAAATTTGCCATCAACCTTTGTGGAAGTGTGTCCTCGTTACAAAATTTAATTCTGTAGTAATATTGGCAGTGCAGCATTTTGCAGTTCAACAAAAAGGGTGTGATGAGGTAGCACACGTCACAGGATCCGTGTACGTCGTCATGACAGTTTGGCCTTGGATCGACAAGCCACAGCAAAACCTGGAGAGGGAGAAAAAACCCAAATGAATATCATGCTTTACAAGAGCTGAAGATCAAAGAAGACACCGCTGAACAGCCAGTCAGCACCAAAGGATCCAAACTACAAGGCTTTGCCGGAAGTCCACCAGCAGTGTGTGCGCCGTCAAATGGCTACGCCGTGGTTTTATTCCATTTTGGGCTCGTGCCAGAACCCACCAGGTGTCTCGCAGAGCACTACAGACCACAGCCCAGGCAGCTGCTTTCCCTAGTTCACCAGATGACAAATACTTCACACCAAAGTCTATTTTGGCCAGTTCAACATTGTCCTGCTTTCATTTGGATATTTTTGTGCTTCTACCATGGGTGAGTAGGCTACATAGTTAAAGGGTGTCTTTTTTTAATTGTTTAATGTTATGTCTTAATTTCTGCCCTGTAACCTGTAGAAAAGGTTAATACAGTTAAGTCTAGTTCAAGTCTAGTTATGAACGACATGGATTAAAGATTTATCGCTGTGCTTTAGTTGTAATGTTGATATAGTGATGTGATTTACAATTTGGAGTCTGCCCGGTGTTTTATTTTGAAATTTAAAGGATGTGCTGTGCCTGTTCTGTGTGTGACTTCCTGGCTAGCTAAATCTGCTCTATGCTGGACAAGTCTTTCATCTGCAGAGCAGTGCAGAGAGTTAAATGTTAGTGTTGGAGAGATGGCTGCTATGAATATTTGTACAAGTAAAAGATCTATATGCTTCTTTCAACAGGGCTCAACAGGCTAGCGCAGTCAGAGGGTCTCAATCTGCAGCTGCAACAACAAGAAAACATTTTTAATCAACCTAATTATCAAACTACATAATCCAGTGAGCAAAAAATAAACATACATACATACATACCTACATGTAAAAAAAGGCATAATAATAAGCTTCTGACGGCAAATCGCTTGAGTCTCACATCCTAGGGCCAGTTTAGTCCACACCCTAAACTGTGCAGCCCAATTAATCGTTACTTATTTATTTGTGTTCACGTGCATCCATGTTCAAGTAAGTGCTGAACAATTGTCACCTTCATGGACCCGTGATGAAGGAGTGACATTGTAATACCGTCCTGATTTCCCCCGGACAAGTTCCAGCTACAAGACCGCGCCTTCGACCGTCTAAACTTCGGGAGTATTTTAGACACACTCAACGTGCTCCTCCGTGAGCTCTGTGAACTGGAACTAGCTTCACTGCAGCACAACTGCTGCCCATGAATACGTGAAGCAGCACAAACATGTGAAGCGAAAGTATCCTGGAGCACCGACTGCAGCACCGCAAATCGTGTTTACTTTCTGTCTCCACACAAGCACAACACATTATCTGCACACATCTGTTAAAATGTATTTCTTCATCGCCTTCATGTTCAAGGTAATTTCTGCCCTGCTGCTGTCATAATAGACATGTTTTTGATATTTATTTGGGATAAATTGGTATGTTAATCAAGTAATAGGCAACTTTGTTCCCTTTAGAATACACAAAAATATTCGTTAGATTAATCAACTTTAAAAAATAAACATTATGTACAGCCCTACATCCTGGTGACATCCATCCTATCCCACACAAGTTAGTATTTACTAGGCCTGAAACGATTCATCGATAAAATCGATTCATAAATGCTTCGACACAAATTCTTTGCATCGATGCTTCGTTTAATCCATGTAACTATACAGCACAGTATTATATAGCTATTATATATACTATATAGCACGGACATTTATTACTGTCGCACATCGCGTTTACGCTGTGAACACGACGTGATTATGATGGAGCTGTTTGCAAAGTGGAGGAAGAGAGAGAAAACAGAGAGGGACAAAGAAGAAAGTGTCCAAAGTATGGGATTATTTCAAGCTAAAGAAAACAACAACTATGTAATATTACAGTCCGTCCACCGTAAAACAAAACTTTTCTCGCCTCGGCAACAGCACGACGGCGCCTTATCAGAAAGCAGCCGGTGTTCTGCCAGTGGACACAGACAAGGTAACAGTAACAGCTACTTTAGCATTTAACTGAAATCATGACTGATTGTTGAGTTGAGGCCAAAGTAGCCGCAGTCCTCAGCTGAAAATGTGCACATGTGCGTTTGTTGTTCTCCTTTTTGGGCCATGAGTTGTAACCTCACAGTCGGAGTTAACTGGGTGTCGGGGAGCTGCACCTTTTAACTCCCCTGCAGCTCTCTCTGTGGCTCAGACAATCCCTGCTGCCTGCATGTGCTAATCCATCCTTTCACCCAGATTCTTTGTCTTTATAATTGCCATCTTATAATAACAAACCACATCTGTTTCGTGTGCAGGATCGCTCATTTCCCATGTGTGTTTCACATGTGTTTTCTTGATAAAAGTGGTTTGGAAACCAGCGCGGGTGCCATAGCTGTTGTCAGCTCCTGTATGTGTGCGACCCCGTCATCGATCAGTCAGCAGTGTGAACACCACAATGACTTCAAGACTGCCATCACATTGTGTGTGTGTGAACTGCACGCCTATCGGCCGACGCTAAGGGTCATGTGTTCTGCATGAGCCTGTAACAACTTGTATAGCACCCGGGTGATGTTTGTGTTTGTAAAGCAGCTGTCTGGTTGTTGTCTGATGTTGCTGTGAGGGGGGGGGTTTAAGTACTTCTTAAACGAAGCATTGATGAATCGCTGAAATAATCTATAGAAGCTTCGAATACTAAAATCATCGTTAACTGCAGCCATAGTATTTACCTATCAAATCTTGTACGGAGCAGTTGGTTTTTGAGCCGTGACCCTTTGTGTTGAACTGTGACAGCAGATCTGCCTGAAAGAAGAGCAAATGAGGTCATCTTACAAGGTGTAAATCATTAAATCAGACCTCTTATGATTTTAAAGAGCTGGGGTGGGATGAGATAGGGGGGAAAAGACAACTGCCTCTCTGGTTGGTTCATCCTGCTGCAGGCTCTCATCGATCAGCCTCGCACTCAAACTCTCGGCCAATCACAGACCTGTGGCAGGAGACAAGGAAAATGCATGAGCACTTTTGGAGGTAAAGACATTCAGTCCCAAATAATGTGACAGATACTTAATACCAGCATACATAAAAATCAATGTGCACTCATATGCTGAATGATATATCTTTGTGTGAACGTGGTGCTATACAGTGTATAACAGCAGCAGGTAACCGGCCAATGGGCTCAACACAGTAACTAGTGGCCAGATAGAGTATGTTTGCAGCGTGACATGTCTGCTCATAAAGTTCAAAGTCAAATGTTTCCCTCTGTTTCCAACAACTACATAGAAATGCAATCAGAGTAAACAGAGTGCTTAGAGACTGTCCAGTCACGGCTATACGCTGCAATAGGGGCTTTCTGTAACACAACCAGCTGAGCAGCTGCAGTTTTTCACAAGTTCCACAAAACAACAAACTCCTGTCTACCACTGTGGTTATTAAATATGCTTGAAATTGGACTTAACGTCCACACAACTTTCCTCAGTCAAAAAACGTTAGTGACCCCAGCAGTGCTCCAGCATGTCAACAATACAAGCTAGCCTGTGTGTGTAGCCTGCAGAGCCCAAAGGATACTAAAGGACAGTACCCACCCAGCCACAGCCTGTTCACCCTGCTGCCTTCTGGGAAGAGATATAGAAGTTTCTGCTGCCGCACCACCAGACTGCAGAGCAGCTTTACTCTGTCAGACTCTGCTCCATTGATGATAGTTTATTTCTGTTTACCATTTTTCATAATTGATTCTGCATTGTTATATTGTGACAATAAACCTACCTACCTGGCCACTTTAACGTGAAGTTCAACACACCAACCTGCACAATAAACACCGAATGAACAATAAAAAACTCTAAAATTGATCAACGACTTGCGCAGCCTTTAAATAAATCTTATTTTGTAACATTAACGTTTGCAGCCCTTTTTTGAGAAAGCGGTCTGAAGTTAGAGCTTAATGTTACTGTAAAAGTTTACTGCTCTTCGGGGGACACCCCCTCGCCGAGTTAGCATACACTTATGATGTTAGCTCGCTAGCTAACGTTAGCAAGACAACGCAGGACATGAACTTAAGTGAAATAAGTTACGTACATTCCTGTGCTATCCCAGCAGAATTATTACAAGTTAATACTTACAGCTCAAAGTGTTACTCTGGCCGTCGCTCTCTGCTGTGTGTCACCCGTGGACGTGAAAGGCGGGCGTGACCACAACTGGACGAGACGCTGGCGCTAGCAAGCTTGGTCAGCTACACAGTGAAGTGGATTTGATTGACAGGTCGACATGGCAGCAACTTGTCAATCACAAGTTATCCCCGCCCTAAAGCCTCACCTGCTTTCTGGGTTATTTTCCTCTAAATGGCACCATAATTTACTGAATGATCATCAGGAAAGTGTTTACAGAGGTAAGAAGTGGGCTCATTGTACCATTAGTGGATCCTCACGTTTCTGTAAGAAACAAAGAAACAATATTTATATTCCACATCATCATCATCCCTCCTCCCTTTATCACTGTGGACGAGTGTTGGAACTCCAAACTAATGGACAGCTCCAAGAAAGGCCGTGAGTACAGCAGAGGCTCTATTATTGTTACTTGCAGTTGGGAACATTTTCTTTTCCAACTACAAAAGGAATAATGATTCATTTTCTGTATTATTGAGAAGGAAATATATTGTCAGATAAAATAGTCCTATGAAAGACTCTCACCGAATCTCATTGTGATTTCCACCAATGTGACATAGAGCCATGGGGGGTGGTACTGTAGAGTTTAAAAAGTTACAGCAAAGCTGATATTTCTTACCAAAGTCATCAGTGTCCTCAGTCTTCTAAAAATGTAACCTACTGGGTTTTAGGCCAAACGATTGCATCAGAATGTTGATTATACCATTGTTTGTATACCTCTTTGTTTAGTGCCAGAAGGACTGTTTTGTTTTTAACTGTTTCATTGACACTTAAGATGGGGTGTCAACCATTTTGTAGACAAGTCCTGTTGTTCTCTATGATTAGTTTAGAGCAAAAGTTTATTCCTGGAGATTGAAGGGGGTTTCACGTCTGGGATCGGCACTCTTTTGTCTGACCAAAAGTAATGAATACAATAACGGTACACCCTTCTGAATTGGGTGACGAAGAAGCCAACAATATGGACCTTAGCCATGTGGAAGAAAAAGGACACATATCTGGAGGATATAAACAACTCATTTTGTGAGAATCGAGACTAAAAGGTGTAAATCTGAAAGGAGGAACAACTTTTCAGTCCACTGCAGTTTTTTTTTTTTTGTTTTACATTTTTGTTGCAGTGCAACGACTTCCCCGAATTCGTTGATGAGAAGGATCAGATGAGACAAGGTATCAAGTTCACACAATGTTGATTTATTCAACCCAATACAGATATATATATCCGGAGACTCTGCTGTCAGGTTGTCTAACACAGAGTCTGACAACTTCCGGCTAAACAATGATTATATGCTGGAAACTGCACCCCTGTGTGTCTCTCGTGTTTGCCATATATGGTAATTGACAGCTGGTATAGAATGTTCTAGTGTGCCTTAGGGGCTGTCATGTGAGTGTGTGTGACTGTATTAATATAAGTGTGAAGTGTGTCAGAGTGTATTATTGTCAGGGCCCGGTTTCCTGTCATTCAGCACAAGCTTCTAACTGTCTTAACTGTTGAATTCCCAAAGATAAGCATGTCACACAATATTGAGTATCATATGAGCAATCATAAGTAATAAGTAAGCATATAAGAGAATCATATCCTGCAATATCACTGTAGGGTTGTGTTGTATATCCACAGTTTGTTCTGTAATGCCATCTTTTATCCACCTATTTTTTAAATTACATTTTCTTGTTAATTTTCATTGGACCCAGCCTCTCCTTTCTCAAAATCTGAAAAAACGCAACAGTACTGAACACTCTTCATGGGATGATAATAAAAGTGAAGTGGCCTCTTTTGGCCAAAACTACAATAAGATGTAGGCCTACACAAAATTCTGAAGTTAAGTAAGCGCTCCTTAAGGCAACTTCTACTTTGGTGGCCTACTGGTATTGTTACAATGGGTGATGAACATTTTTGACACAGTATTTTCATTGTATATTTTCTTGAAAGAAAGAATAACTAATAGGCCATTAGATTAGCCTATACTGTAGCACATTAAAACATATTGCTGATTTTATTTCAATAAATCCAAATCACTTTTAGCAGACTAATCGTTATTGTTGACGTCAAGTCTTTTGTTACTGCTTTTTGTCTGATATTGTGATTGCTCTTAATAATGTTGCAAGGTGTTTGGAAATGATCTGCCTTAAATGGGACCACTGGCGGCCCTGTGTGTGGAACGTTCCCCTTGTTTAGGTGGGAAATTTGGTTAACTTGATAGCACAGAAGAAGAAGAGGGAGCCGATCTTGTATAAAGGATTTAATTGCTTGTGTAGCAAGACGAGGATGTGATTCTATTTAAATACGTCTAACCGGCAACCCGCTTAGAGCCAAGACACAGCCGGAACTGGGCCGACCAGGCAGAGGGCAATCCCACAGGGGGAGAGAGCGACACCCAAAGCCGAGGCACGAGAAAGACAGACCGAGCCGCCGTTCAAACCCCCCGCCGAGGCAGCAGTGCAGCAGATCACTGAAGGGAAGATTTAGCACCATTATATTTATATTTCACATGGTATATATTCAATCAAATGTAATACAATACGAGACATGCATACATACCCCCACGGTTCCCCAGCGCACACACATAATCAGCCACAGGCCAGATCGAGACAGCCCGCACAGCAACGATTCGCTCTTAAACAATCAAGGGAGCATTGTCTTTAACCGCGATGCACTACCTGCACACAGCAGACAGTTCCATCAGCATGCCAGCAGACAGCACACTTACCACACAGACCGAGAGCAATGTCGCGTGCATACAGGACACCGCCCGGCGACGCTGCAGGCTTAGGGGTATTAAACTTGCGCTGCAGGCCATAACAGCTGTGACAGCACTCGCATCAGCAAATCACAAGCAGCCAAAATGCCCAGTCCAGGTAAGAAAGAGACTGACACAGGTGCATCACCACCTGTACTTATAGGCCACAGCAGTGGCATCCGGTTGTCAAGACACCAGCGCAGTGCCATATAGTGGCGGGAGGGAGAAAAACCTTCAACCTGCCGCACTTGCTTTAGATACTGTTGAACTGAGGAAATGTTTTGTTTGAACCTTTTCATAAAGGCAAAATAGCAAGGCTTCTTATCTGTAAGTTAACATTTATGGATATGAAATGTATCTTTATATGATTTCTTTCTGTTTGCACTCTCTCTGTACACATTTAAAACACTTCTATTCATCATAATTATTATTTCATTATCATCTATCAGTAGCGTCAACGAGTACTAGCCAAACATAGCACAGTAGGGCAGGACTTGCTGCGTGTAAAGCTAGCATCCAATCACAAGGACCCGTGCAAGTGACGAGTAACCTATTAGCCAATCACAGCACAGTTGTGCGGGTCAAGTCGAAACTCTGCCAGGAAAAATTTAACACCGCTCAACAAAAATCAGATGTCGCGGGCTGGCTGATTCGACTTGACCACGGTTCGGCTGCTCACTCTTGTGGCGGAGTGAGACTGAAGAAGAGACGTGCCAGAGTAACACTTTGAGCAAAATCAGAGGGGAAAGGCATAGTGAAGTGTAAATCGACAATGGCAACAGAGCTGGGATAATGTAATAAAAGGGAGACATTTACACGGAATCCAATGCAAAGTAGGGAAGCAAAGAGGAAAGAGCAGGTGATAATAAGTAGGCTGAGAATTGGGCATAGCAATCTTAACAGCACACTTTTAATTATGAAAACATCCTGTGTGAACAATGTCAGGAGGCTGAAACAGCAGAACATATTCTTATAACATGCAGGAAATTTACTCAGGAAAGACAAGAAATTATAACACCGTTAAAAAAAATAGGACGGATAGATAATACAGTAAAAAGTTTATTGGAGTATGGAGAAAGTGTGGAGGGCAGGAAATGGATATTTGGTTTTCTGAGGGCGACTGGATTAGATAGGCGGATTTAGTATGAATGGAAGCAAAGTGTAAATAAAAACTGAATTTGGCAGTAATGTAACTCAATGGATGCCAGCTGCCGTAAAAACCCGAAGAAGAAGAGTAACACTTTGAGCTGTAAGTATTAAGTTGTAATAATTCTGCTGGGATAGCACAGGAATGCATGTAACATATTTGACTTAAGTTCATTACCTGCGTTCACTTGCTAACGTTAGCTAGTGAGCTAATGTCATAAGTGTATGCTAACTCGGCGAGGGGGTGTCCCCCGAAGAGCAGTAAACTTTTACAGTAACGTTAAGCTCTAACTTCAGACCGCTTTCTCAAAAAAGGGCTGCAAACGTTAATGTTACAAAATAAGATTGATTTAAAAGCTGCGCAAGTCGCAAGTTGTTGTCAATTTTATAACTCGGAATCTGCAAGTTTCGCCATATTGTTCATTCGGTGTTTATTGTGCAGGTTGGTGTGTTGAACTTCACGTTAAAGTGGCTTGGTCGGTAGGTTGATAGTCACAATATAACAAGTTAAGTTATTTTGTGAAATTGAGTTTTGAAACTCCCTTCTGCTACATAGCAGAAAATATACATTAATACAGAATCAATTATGAAAAATAGCCTGTATTGTTGACATGCTGGAGCACTGCTGGGGTCACTAACGTTTTTTGACTGAGGAAAGTTGTGTGGACGTTAAGTCCAATTTCAAGCATATTTAATAACCACAGTGGTAGACAGGAGTTTGTTGTTTTGTGGAACTTGTGAAAAACTGCAGCTGCTCAGCTGGTTGTGTTACAGAAAGCCCCTATTGCAGCGTATTGCTGTGACTGGACTAAGTACTCGTCCATGAACCTGCCCACAAATTACTGTGTTGAGCCCATTGCCCCGGTTACCTGCTGCTGTTTGTGCTGTGATACACTGTATAGCACCACGTTCACACAAAGATATATCGTTCAGCATATGAGTACACATTGATTTTTATGTATGCTGGTATTTAGTATCTGTCACATTATTTGGGACTGAATGTCTTTACCTCCAAAAGTGCTCATGCATTTTCCTTGTCTCCTGCTACAGGTCTGTGATTGGCCGAGAGTTTGAGTGCAAGGCTGATCGATGAGAGCCTGCAGCAGGATGAACCAACCAGAGAGGCAGTTGTCTTTTCCCCCCTATCTCATCCCACCCTAGCTCTTTAAAATCATAAGAGATGAGGTCTGATTTAATGATTTACACCTTGTAAGATGACCAACCAACTGCTCCGTACAAGATTTTGATAGATAAATACTAACTTGTGTCGGTTTGGATGGATGTCACAGGAATGTAAACAAAACCATTCATATTAAGCAGTGGGCTATCATAATCAGACCTTACTAGTTACTGGTGTGGGAAAACGGAACACAAAAGAGTATATTGATATGTGTACTTAAATGGATTCAGTATTCATCCTCTGCACTTTATTAATTGGATTGGAAGCACAGGACATTAACTGTGGAGTTTAATTTAGCTTGGTGAACTTAACAGAATATTCCCCATTCTGTACAAGTTCAAGTATTCTTAATAGGACAAAGTAGGTGATTTACTAATTAACGTCTAATCAAATGGTTGTGTATGTTGTGTATATATGATGCTTTGGCAATGTTGTTATTACATTCATGCCAATAAAGCTAATTTGAATTGAATGGTTGTACCTTTACAAATGCTACCACAGTAAACAAACACCAATAATATTTAAGAACACTTGTCGACCATAGGCAGTAAGATATGACCTCTTGTACAAACAGAGAAATAATGCTTCACATCAGAAAACATAAAGGGCCCCACCTAGTGGGGTAACAGGGACATACAATGCTGCGTGTCTATATTACCGTCCAATACCGAAGACTCTAATAGCAGCGCTAACTATCAAAGGCGAATACAACCAAATACTACCACATGTTGAAACTAGTAACATAACATTGACGGTATTACAATGTCACTCCTTTATCACAGGTCCATGAAGGTGACAATTATTCAGCACTTACTTGAACATGGACACACGTGAACACAAACAAGTCCACAACGATTAATTAGTCTGCACAGTTTGGGGGGGGACCAAACTAGGATGTGAGACTCAAGTGATTTGCTGTCAGAAGGTCCTGCCTTACGCTGCAGCGGTGAATCACTAAAGCTTATCATAGGTCTGCAGCTTATTATTATTATGCCTTTTTTTACATGTACGCTTTATTTTTTGCTCACTGGATTATGTAGTTTGATAATTAGGTTGATTAAAAATGTTTTCTTGTTGTTGCAGCTGCAGATTGAGACCCTCTGACTGCGCTAGCCTGTTGAGCCCTGTTGAAAGAAGCATATAGATCTTTTACTTGTACAAATATTCATAGCAGCCATCTCTCCAACACTAACATTTAACTCTCTGCACTGCTCTGCAGATGAAAGACTTGTCCAGCATAGAGCAGATTTAGCTAGCCAGGAAGTCACACACAGAACAGGCACAGCACATCCTTTAAATTTCAAAATAAAACACCGGGCAGACTCCAAATTGTAAATCACATCACTATATCAACATTACAACTAAAGCACAGCGATAAATCTTTAATCCATGTCGTTCATAACTAGACTTAACTGTATTAACTTTTTCTACAGGTTACAGGGCAGAAATTAAGACATAACATTAAACACAATTTAAAAAAAGACACCCTTTAACTATGTAGCCTACTCACCCATGGTAGAAGCACAAAAATATCCAAATGAAAGCAGGACAATGTTGAACTGGCCAAAATAGACTTTGGTGTGAAGTATTTGTCATCTGGTGAACTAGGGAAAGCAGCTGCCTGGGCTGTGCTCTGCAGCGCTCTGCGAGACACTCCTGGTGGGTTCTGGCACGAGCCCAAAATGGAATAAAACCACGGCGTAGCCATTTGACGGCGCACACACTGCTGGTGGACTTCCGGCAAAGCCTTGTAGTTTGGATCCTTTGGTGCTGACTGGCTGTTCAGCAGTGTCTTCTTTGATCTTCAGCTCTTGTAAAGCATGATATTCATTTGGGTTTTTTTCTCCCTCTCCAGGTTTTGCTGTGGCTTGTCGATCCAAGGCCAAACTGTCATGACGACGTACACGGATCCTGTGACGTGTGCTACCTCATCACACCCTTTTTGTTGAACTGCAAAATGCTGCACTGCCAATATTACTACAGAATTAAATTTTGTAACGAGGACACACTTCCACAAAGGTTGATGGCAAATTTCATTTAGCAGATGAATTTGGTGGGTCTGCTGGTCAGTACAAGTTGTATTTTCTGTTGCATCAAACCACTAACTTTAGCATCAGCAATGCCAAGAGCGAAACAAAAATAGTCCAACCATTGTGCTTTGTAAATATGACACAAATAAACACTCAGAAAATAGTCCATTATTTCTGTCTTTGGTCAAAGGTAGTGATGATTGATCATGAACCGCTATTTGAAAATGTGTTATTTGTCCCTAAACACTGATGTTAATTGCTTGTCAGCTCAGCCCTTGAAGAGGAACCAAAAAACAATTGTTTTTTCATAAAGCAGATTTTTCAGTGTGTGAGATTCTTACTTGGTGGCTCTTCCACTTCAGAGATTCGAATACAACCGGTCTGTAACTATCTGTCCTCTGCTGATATCTACTGTCCATCTTTGTAGCACAACCCCAGCTTTTTGTTTACTGTAATGAGAATTTTTCAAAACAGACCAGATTTTTTGGGAATAGAATAAAACGTAGACACAAATGGACTTTTTAATCCCATTACTTTTAAGTGAAGTGGCGTCCCCAAACTACAATGCGGTGTACAGTCAATTCTATATTAAAGTACATGTTGAGGTCTGGTTATGAGAGAATATAAACTAATTTCTACTTTGGATGGCTAATGGTATTGTTACATTGGATGATGAACATTGTTGATCTGGTATACATATTGTAATTTTGAGAAAATGAATAACTACGGTAATGCGCTATTAGATTAATTCATAATAATGTCATTAATATTTTATAATTAGCCTATAATGTAGCCCATTAAAACATAATGCTGAGTTTGTTTCAATAAATTTAAATCACCTTTAGCCAGCTAATCTTCATTGGTTGTATTAATGTAGCAAGGTGTAATCTTCAATAACTGCCTTAGATGGGACCATACTGGCAGCCCCCGTTGCCACAGCAGCAGGGCCAGGGTGTGTGCCGCTTTCGTCTTTTTAGCTGGGAAATTTGGTCAACTTGATAACACATCAAGTCCACACATCAGGAGGACAATCATAGTGCAGTCAAACGACGCATCACATTGATGAATAAAGGACACATAACAACACAGGGAGACGACACGTAGTAACGACACATAGCAATGACAGAGGGAGACATGTAACTACACATAGCAACGACACATAGCAACGACGGGGAGACATGTAACGACACATAGCAACGACAGAGGGAGACGACACGTAGTAACGACACATAGCAATGACAGAGGGAGACATGTAACTACACATAGCAACGACACATAGCAACGACGGGGAGACATGTAACGACACATAGCAACGACAGAGGGAGACGACACGTAGTAACGACACATAGCAACGACAGAGGGAGACGACACGTAGTAACGACACATAGCAACGACAGAGGGAGACGACACGTAGTAACGACACAGCAATGACAGAGGGAGACATGTAACTACACATAGCAACGACACATAGCAACGACGGGGAGACATGTAACGACACATAGCAACGACAGAGGGAGACGACACATAGCAATGACAGAGGGAGACATGTAACTACACATAGCAACGACACATAGCAACGACGGGGAGACATGTAACGACACATAGCAACGACAGAGGGAGACGACACGTAGTAACGACACATAGCAACGACAGAGGGAGACGACACGTAGTAACGACACAGCAATGACAGAGGGAGACATGTAACTACACATAGCAACGACACATAGCAACGACGGGGAGACATGTAACGACACATAGCAACGACAGAGGGAGACGACACATAGCAATGACAGAGGGAGACATGTAACTACACATAGCAACGACAGAGGGAGACATGTAACGACACATAGCAACGACAGAGGGAGACATGTAACGACACATAGCAACGACAGAGGGAGACGACACATAGCAATGACAGAGGGAGACATGTAACTACACATAGCAACGACAGAGGGAGACATGTAACGACACATAGCAACGACAGAGGGAGACGACACGTAGTAACGACACATAGCAATGACAGAGGGAGACATGTTACGACACATAGCAACGACACGTAGTAACGACGCATAGCAACGACAGAGGGAGACATGTAACGACACATAGCAACGACGGGGAGACATGTAACGACACATAGCACCGACAGAGGAGATGACATAGTAACGACACATGGTCATTCACAGTTAGCAAAGACAGAGCAAGACATCATAGTCAAATGACAAGGACGGCAACAGACGACATAAACAAGTTGAGTTGACACAGTCATGTGAAGCATCGACATAGACAGTAAGCATGCCGACTTATTTTTGGCACAAACAGAACCCCATAGAGTCTTTATTAGTAGAATGTGGATCAGGTGTGCAGGTGGAGCGCCAGGCCCAGAGTGAGAAGCCACGCCCAGACAACACAGAGAGACAGACAGACTAACAGGAGACACAGGTAGGGAAGAGAACATAAACACAAGGCTGTAGTCTTTCCCCTTATAGGCTAATCCTACCAGTGAGGATGACCTAATTAGGATGAGGAGCGATGATACAATTTCCCAATACTTTTTATGTAGCAGTTATTTGAAAAAAAATTAAATAGATAACCATGCTTGTCAATAAAAATAATAATAAGCTACTAATCAGGTGGCATGTCAGCAGGTGACATGAAGAGGAACCAAAAAACAATTGTTTTTTCATAAAGCAGATTTTTCAGTGTGTGAGATTCTTACTTGGTGGCTCTTCCACTTCAGAGATTCGAATACAACCGGTCTGTAACTATCTGTCCTCTGCTGATATCTACTGTCCATCTTTGTAGCACAACCCCAGCTTTTTGTTTACTGTAATGAGAATTTTTCAAAACAGACCAGATTTTTTGGGAATAGAATAAAACGTAGACACAAATGGACTTTTTAATCCCATTACTTTTAAGTGAAGTGGCGTCCCCAAACTACAATGCGGTGTACAGTCAATTCTATATTAAAGTACATGTTGAGGTCTGGTTATGAGAGAATATAAACTAATTTCTACTTTGGATGGCTAATGGTATTGTTACATTGGATGATGAACATTGTTGATCTGGTATACATATTGTAATTTTGAGAAAATGAATAACTACGGTAATGCGCTATTAGATTAATTCATAATAATGTCATTAATATTTTATAATTAGCCTATAATGTAGCCCATTAAAACATAATGCTGAGTTTGTTTCAATAAATTTAAATCACCTTTAGCCAGCTAATCTTCATTGGTTGTATTAATGTAGCAAGGTGTAATCTTCAATAACTGCCTTAGATGGGACCATACTGGCAGCCCCCGTTGCCACAGCAGCAGGGCCAGGGTGTGTGCCGCTTTCGTCTTTTTTAGCTGGGAAATTTGGTCAACTTGATAACACATCAAGTCCACACATCAGGAGGACAATCATAGTGCAGTCAAACGACGCATCACATTGATGAATAAAGGACACATAACAACACAGGGAGACGACACGTAGTAACGACACATAGCAATGACAGAGGGAGACATGTAACTACACATAGCAACGACACATAGCAACGACGGGGAGACATGTAACGACACATAGCAACGACAGAGGGAGACGACACGTAGTAACGACACATAGCAATGACAGAGGGAGACATGTAACTACACATAGCAACGACACATAGCAACGACGGGGAGACATGTAACGACACATAGCAACGACAGAGGGAGACGACACGTAGTAACGACACATAGCAACGACAGAGGGAGACGACACGTAGTAACGACACATAGCAACGACAGAGGGAGACGACACGTAGTAACGACACAGCAATGACAGAGGGAGACATGTAACTACACATAGCAACGACACATAGCAACGACGGGGAGACATGTAACGACACATAGCAACGACAGAGGGAGACGACACGTAGTAACGACACATAGCAATGACAGAGGGAGACATGTAACTACACATAGCAACGACACATAGCAACGACGGGGAGACATGTAACGACACATAGCAACGACAGAGGGAGACGACACGTAGTAACGACACATAGCAACGACAGAGGGAGACGACACGTAGTAACGACACAGCAATGACAGAGGGAGACATGTAACTACACATAGCAACGACACATAGCAACGACGGGGAGACATGTAACGACACATAGCAACGACAGAGGGAGACGACACATAGCAATGACAGAGGGAGACATGTAACTACACATAGCAACGACAGAGGGAGACATGTAACGACACATAGCAACGACAGAGGGAGACATGTAACGACACATAGCAACGACAGAGGGAGACGACACATAGCAATGACAGAGGGAGACATGTAACTACACATAGCAACGACAGAGGGAGACATGTAACGACACATAGCAACGACAGAGGGAGACGACACGTAGTAACGACACATAGCAATGACAGAGGGAGACATGTAACGACACATAGCAACGACACGTAGTAACGACGCATAGCAACGACAGAGGGAGACATGTAACGACACATAGCAACGACGGGGAGACATGTAACGACACATAGCACCGACAGAGGGAGATGACATAGTAACGACACATGGTCATTCACAGTTAGCAAAGACAGGGCAAGACATCATAGTCAAATGACAAGGACGGCAACAGACGACATAAACAAGTTGAGTTGACACAGTCATGTGAAGCATCGACATAGACAGTAAGCATGCCGACTTATTTTTGGCACAAACAGAACCCCATAGAGTCTTTATTAGTAGAATGTGGATCAGGTGTGCAGGTGGAGCGCCAGGCCCAGAGTGAGAAGCCACGCCCAGACAACACAGAGAGACAGACAGACTAACAGGAGACACAGGTAGGGAAGAGAACATAAACACAAGGCTGTAGTCTTTCCCCTTATAGGCTAATCCTACCAGTGAGGATGACCTAATTAGGATGAGGAGCGATGATACAATTTCCCAATACTTTTTATGTAGCAGTTATTTGAAAAAAAATTAAATAGATAACCATGCTTGTCAATAAAAATAATAATAAGCTACTAATCAGGTGGCATGTCAGCAGGTGACATTTTATGCAAGGTATCGAATGAAGTACTCAATTGGTATTGGTATTGTTGTGGTGGCAGCCCGGCTGACGGTGAGTGTCCTGGTTTTTTCTACTTTTTATCAGTTCTTCTGCTTTTTTCCTTGGTT